GGAGTGAGGCAGAGCGAGGCAGGATGGGGTGGGGCAGAGCGAGGCTGGACAGGGCAGGACAAGGTGAGGCAGAGCGAGGCTGGACAGGGCAGGACTGGGGTGAGGCAGAGCAAGGCTGGACGGGTCAGGACAAGGTGAGGCGGGGCAGGGTGAGGCAGAGGGAGGCTGGACGGGGCAGGGTGAGGCAGAGTGGGGCTCAGTGAGGCAGGGCAGGACAGGGCTGGGTGAGGCAGAGTGAGGATTGATCTGTAGTGCACTGAGGTGGAATAGCAGTCTGTTTTTCTTTGGTCTTCCAAAGTACAAGAGAAAGAAACCAAAGAAAACGTTCTGAAAAATCTGACACTGAGGCAGTGAAGGAGACTGGGAGAGCAGGCTGTAAGAAGGAGGGAGAGACGACAACAGGGTTTGAAACAGGCCCAGCTGCATGAAGTGCTATGTAGAATTAGATGTCAAGTTCGGTTATTGATTATTGATTGTGGGTTTTGTTCTGTTGCAGGACGGCCCCTGGCCCCGGCCAAGGTGACGTCCAGCTCGGGGAACCCCTGGGTGGCCGTGCTGTACACCTGGGCTCTGGTGCAGGTGAGCGTGAGGGAGGTGGGGGTGGGGAGCACGGGGGCGATCAGGGGAGGGGGAGCGCCGTGACTGACGACTGGTTTGTGCCCAGGTGGTGCTGTGCGCGGGCCAGCTCAACGCGCTGGCCAGCCTGGTCACCGTGTTCTACCTCCTGGCGTACGCAGCTGTCGACCTGGCCTGCCTGGCGCTGGAGTGGGCATCGGCTCCGAACTTCAGGTGAGTCGCACCTGCGGGCACGAGGGGGAGAGAGAGGCGTTTCTGCCCGGCTGGCGCCTTGTCCCTCTGCCTGTCTGCTCCCTCCTCCAGCCCGAGCTCCTTCTCTCTGTTTCTCTCCTCTCCCCCAGGCCCACGTTCCAGCTGTTCTCCTGGCACACCTGCCTGCTGGGCCTGCTGAGCTGCGTGGTGATGATGTTCCTGATCAACGCAGTCTACTCCTCCGCCAGCATGGTGCTGCTGCTGCTGCTGCTGCTGCTCCTCCACTACCGCGCCCCCACCAGCAGCTGGGGCTACATCAGCCAGGCCCTCATCTTCCACC